GGGGGAATCAGCCTTCCAAAAAATAAAATAAAAAACTCAATTAAAAAAAAAAAAATCGAACCCCCCAGTTCAAGCGAAAACTTACCGAGACCACAAAATCCCCCTCCCCCAAGCCTTTCCTAAAAGGGGCTGGAGGGGAAAACTTGTTGAGCGTTTATCCAAGCCAGAAACAAAACCAGGCAGGACCGAGAATAACGGTCCTGGTCGGTGGTAGCTGCAATAAGACACGACGAAAGCTCCGAGTGGCTGCTGAGAATCTAAATCATGTACTTTTCTCTTCCAGACAACATAGGGGGACCAGAAGGGAAAAGGGCTCGGACTGCTTACACCCGCTATCAGACCTTGGAGCTGGAAAAGGAATTTCACTTCAATAGATACCTGACCCGCAGAAGAAGGATTGAAATAGCACATGCTCTTTGCCTCTCAGAGAGACAAATAAAGATCTGGTTCCAAAACAGGAGAATGAAATGGAAAAAGGATAATAAGCTGAAAAGTATGAGCATGGCAGCTGCAGGAGGGGCATTCCGTCCCTAAGCGTTTGATCAATTAAAAGTACTGAGCAGTATTAGCTGACCCTGCGTCTCATGTCAGTACTAAGTTGACTTTCTAAAACTTCCTTGTGTTACTTCTGTGAAGAAACCCTGTTCTTGTCGCCCTTATTCATCTTTTAATCATGAGCCTGTTTATTACCATTCTCTCGCGTGTATAAGTAGATCTGCTTTTATCGTACATTTCTTTGTCTTGAATGGCTTTGTCTTGAAAAAAATAATAGATGTTTTAACTTATTTATATGAAGCGGGCTGTGTTACTTGAAGTAACTGTTAAAACAAAACTAAACTAAACAAAAAAGAACAAAAAAACGAAGGTAAAAAAAAAAAAAAAGGAGAGAGAGAAAGAAACCCTCCCCCGGTTTAGTACAAATGTTATGTGTTGCACTCAACCTGCTTAACTGTGCATGTGTGGTCAAGTGTTAATGTCTGTATAGCTCCAAGCTGTTAAAAATATTTTTATTCAAACTACCTATATAATTCCTGTGTAATTAATGCTGTTGTAGAGGTGAAATGATGAAATCAACTGAACTTGTCCTACGTGTAGTGAATAGTGAATCTGTGACGAAAACTGTGATTCCAAGCAGTATGTCCTTGCTGTGCCTTTGTATATGACTCTTTGCACGAACTCTTAGAAGTGGCTCTTATTAAGCGCAGCTTCTGTGATGTATGTTTTTTGTGAACAAAGTTACAAATATAGTCAAAGTCTGGCTGTTTGAGCAAACTGTGATCAGCTTTTTTTTTTTTTTTTTTTTGTATTTGTTTTTAAAAAAATCTGACTGGAAATCAACAAAAAAAATAAACTTTCTATTGTAAAGTTTTCGTGATCTGGTTTATGCAAAGCAAGAAGTTGTGCTTCCTGATTTGCCTCTGAACAAAAAAAAAAAAGTGCAGAGTTTGTAATAATATTTTACCTGGCTCCTGCTGCACGTTGCAAATGGTGCGATTGTCCGCTACCAGTATTTTTAAATGAAAGTTTGACCATAAGTTCCTCCTTACTGGTTTCTCGCTAGGTGGAAAGCTGCGTCGCAGGACCACAATCAACACCCTTTGTGGGTGAATCAACTGTTAGCTGTTTGCTGATGGTTGAAAAAAAAAAAAACAACCCAACATGTGCTTTGTTAAAACACGCTGCTAACTCCAAGACGTCTTTGCATCTCTAGAATTTCTCCTGTGGTTTCATTAAGTATATTTGCAGGACAGCCATGTCCGAGCCCTCTGCGTCTATTAGTAATTCTCGCTAGCCACGTTCCCAC